TAGTGACAGGAAAGAAGGAGAAATGGCTGCAAGGTTACTGCTCCGCTCTGCGGTTAGAGCCGCGACAACCTGCCGGGCTGCCCCGGTCCCGGCTCTGACCCGCGGCATGGCTGCCGGAGGTGAGGACGGAACCACACGGAGCTATAAATTCTGAAAAACTGGGGAAATATGAGTTTATAAGGGCGGTTTGTCCGCATCGAGCTCAGGCGGAAGTCCTCCACACGCTTAGCTGGTTAGCATTAGCAACGTTAGCAGACCTGCTACATTGGCTGCGAGAGGTCAAACAAGAGATTCAATAATTTAATGATTAAATCTGCTGTAGCTATAATAAACTTTACCCAAGTGTGTTATGTTTACGCTGAATACTGTTCAGTGCAGGGAACTTTGGAACGTTAGTGTTGCTAGTTATATTGACCTAAACACAGATTGTTAGCTAGTTAGCTTAGCTTAGCACAAGTGTCTCCCTATTGATTAACGTCGTGCAGCCATAAATAATCTGTGCTCTGTGAAGTTTCGTGTAGTTGGACTTAAATGACTTTAAAGATGTTAACTCATAGTGAATAAAATTATAACTAGTTGTGACCAGCTAGCGAAATTCCCACACCTTTATTTTTTAAAATTATTTTATTGTTTATTGTTTAACTATTATGTTAGCTGTTACAGTTCTGGGGTTATAGGTATATAGTTTTTTTTTATAAATAACAGTATATTGCCTATTTTTATTACCACATTCATTCATACACTTTTAATTATCTCTTATGTTCTGTGTGTGTTGCATGCTACAAACTTTTTTTTTTGTTTTTAGTTATTGAACCTTGTGTTGCATAATGACAAAATAATCAACTTTGTACCTTGTAGAGATGATATTTATAATTCCACATTAAGATTAATAAAGCACTCTTATGTCTGTGGTAATACAGCATATTAGAGCTGAAACGGTTGGTCATTTAAGTTGATCGGCAGAAAACTAATTGGCAGCAATAATGATTCATGTTTACGCCCATTATCAAGCATTAATAATAAAAATTATCTGGTTGCAGTTTCTCCTGCATGAGGATTTGCTGCTTTTCCCTGTTTTGTATCACAGTAAACTGAATATCTTTTGCAATAAAACATTTAAAGACGACACGTTTTCTACACTAACCTGTGAGTCTAAATACTTTAGGTTAATCAAAATGAAAGTAACTTTCATTTGCAGTTGTAGTCAAAGGAAGGTGACTCAAGGTGACCCCTCACTTGTTACCGTCAGTCTTTCATCAGACGTGTTATTTTGTTGGCAGGGATTCCCACGGATGAGGAGCAAGCCACAGGCCTGGAGAAGAAAATCATGAACGCCATGAAAGTTGGAACGGTAAGGTCATTAATCTATAATAAGCATGTGTCTGCCCTTTGTTTCTATCCGTCATCAAATGAACATGGTTTAAATTTTCTGCTGTAGTTCTTAAACAACCCCAAAATGGTCAGTGGAAAATATTTATAAAGTGAGGAATTATTTGGATTTATTATCAAATTTGACAGAACACATGAGCAGGCCTCAACCACACAGCCAACGATGTGTTTGCTGATAAACATCAGCATATACTCGATATATGACTGCAACTCTAACAATTATTTTCATTGTTGATTCATCTGTTTATTATTTTCTCGATTAGTCGTTTGGTCTATAAAATGTCAGAAAATGGTGGAAAATGTTGATCAGTGTTTCCCAAAGCTCCTCAAATGTCTTGTTTTGTCCACAACCCAAAGATATTCAGTTTACTGTCACAGAGGAGCAAATAAACCCAGAAATATTTATATTTAAAAAGCTAGAATCAGAGAATTTAGACTTTAATTATTAATCATTGCAGCTCTAATCGATACATCCACATCACTGTTACTGTGACCTGGGCCAAGATAATCTGCCTGTAGTGTCGGTGTATTGATCAGAATCTCTTGCAGCCCTATTATCCAGCTAACAGACTTTACAGAAGCTGCTCCACTTATAAGTAATTAGTCTTTTGGGAAATTAAACATATCCAGAGCCAGTTAATCATTACTCTGGCGGCTGTTATCTGTGCCCAGCAGGCGTGTTGTGGGACTTAATGGGAAATTAAAATTGATCAGTTAGAGTAATTCATCTGGGTGAGAGAACCGGGCTGTACCTGACTGGACTGGGTAAAAGAAACCACGCCTTGATACTGAATCTAATTTACACGGTACGCTTAAATAAAATGATATATGAAATATAATACTGTTACATGCAGGTCGAGTCAGATTTAGATAATACTTCATCCTCGTATTATCGACACCCAGAAGATCACTAACCCAACCTCACCCTTCCCTCTCCTTCAGGATCCATACAGCATGATGAAGCCAAAAGAGTACGCTGGCTCCAAGGCTGATCCCCACCTTGTTCCCTCCATCACAAACAAGAGGATTGTGGGATGTGTCTGTAAGTTACCTTTTTAAAGTCTTCAACATTATCTGGCTGGTTTAAAAAGACTTTACTGTACCCCTCATTGAATCCATCAATGAGCTTAAAACTTAGATTTGGTCTGTGTTGATAAGTCATTCCCTAGTGGAAATCTCTTTAAACCAGAATTGTGAGACAAAAAGAGAGAATTTTAATGACACAAGACGTTATATGATACACGTCTTTACAGGATTTTGGCAGGCATTTATTTGTAGAGGGAAAAATTTTATTTTTTGAAAATGAATCGGTGAAAAATGTTCACACGGGTAAAGAATCCAACCTAACTGTGTTACCTAAAACGCATGAAGTGTGAAAGTTGGTGAGAACATGAAGCTTAAAGGGGGTAAAGGCCGGTAGTGATAATTATCGCAATATAATTTTCTTCAATAACAATATAATAAATGTTCAAAATATCGTCTATAAATATTTGCTTCAATTCATTTGAATCACAAACAAATTGGCACCAAATTTTTCTATTAAAATATTTTATTGAAAAAAAAAAAGAGTCCTGAAAAAAGATTAACTAATATTTGTAGAAAAAGATAAGTTTTAAATGTTCTAACTCAGACTTGTGAAGTGATCCACTGTTCAAGTGTCAACCATAAAGAAAAGTTTAACCACATAATTAACCATCTGGTTTCTTCGATTTTCACTCAGAAGCAAAAATCTGCCTTTAAACTTGAAAGAAATAATGATTTGACACATATTGTCATAATTATCGATGATATGAAATGTTTTTATCGTGATAACATTTTTGGCCATATCGCCCAGCACTAGTGTGAACTAGCAGCACAGTCGCTTCCTGAAACTTTTTAATGCAGGACCGTCTCTCACACAGTGCATTAGCACCATGAAAGTATCCAAGAATGTTGCTCCTCGTCAATCTAGTTCCTTTTTATCAATTAGTTTTTTTTACATGATTCTAAAATATTTATACAGGTGTGTTGTATTCAGTAACATCGGAGCTTCTTTGTGTTTGTGTCTCTCACCTGGTCTTATTTCCTCGTCTGCAGGTGAAGAAGACAACACCGCCGTGGTTTGGTTCTGGCTTCATGATGGCGAGGCCCAGCGCTGCCCGTCCTGCGGTTCCCACTACAAACTGGTGCCCCATGAGCTCCCTCACTAACTTATATACATACCTCTGTTATTATTTACCTCTATTACTCAGCTGTGTGTCTGCACAGTGTCGGCTTCTCTTTGAAATATTCCTCTTACCTTCAGAACGAGGTGACAAACGATCAGACGGCGATGATTGATTGACTGATTGGTCTTTTGACTTGTTCTGTCACAGTACTTGATCTACCTGCTAACCTCATCAGTCTTTGCTTTACATGTTACCATTCACAGAGGGATCAGATGTGGTTTGGGACACAACTGTTTAAACATTTCCAGTACGCTGCAGTTTACATTGACACATGTACTGTACAACGTTACACTCGGCCCGCTTACTCCTTTTATTTGAAACAATAAAGTCCTCATCTCAAGTGTCTGCTGTGGATGTGCTTTACTTGTTGCAGGCTCTTTTCTTCAGTTGCCAAGAAGGTTGAATTCAGTCATTTAAGTCTTAGTCTTAGAGTTAGGCTACACACAAAAGAGTTAACTGAGGAGTAAAAAAGGTTTCTGCGAAGGCCGATTCATTCATGAACAGACTTGACTCCGACAGTGAAGTGTAAGAGTTACGTCAACTCTCAAGTGACATGACTAATCCAGTGTATGCTCTGAACAGCCAGCCAGAACAAGGATTTAATCCTCATCTGCCTCGCTGTTCATTCTTTAAACACATCCCTACATTGAAAATTGTTTTCTTTTATCCTTCATTCACCAGCAGCAAATTGGTGTAATTAACAACCATCTATTAGGTATGTTAAATGTATAAAAAGGTATTCAATCAGAATATTAGCTGAGATGGAAACAAAGAAAACTCTCTGCACACATGAGACATTCATAAAGAGAATGTATGACCACGTTGAGAAGTTTAGACAACGCATGAAATGTGATTGTAAGTTAAAGCTTTGCTTTATTTTGTTTGCAGCCCTGATAAATGCAAAAAGAAAAAGTGATGTGTCCTATCAAATGTAAACTGGGCTACAACTACTCTCAATTTTGATTATTCTTATTGGTCATCGTGATCATAATATCTTGTGTCCTGCATTCATCTGGGACATCAGAAACCTTTGCAGCTGGTATGAATTTAACAATTTTAGTCAGTTTGTGAGGAAAAGTCAAGGATTTATTACTCTAGTAGTTTTTTACTTTAGTAGTTTTAAAATAAATCATAAATAGGTGAGACAAGTGTTCTGTTGGAACATGAGTAAAGGAGGGATAGTAAATGGACAGAGCTGTTAAGAGGAAAACGTATGTGGTCTGAGTTTAAAAACATCTCTGTCACCAGAGGGCGCCAGTTACAAATATATTGAACTCATGTTTCTGTATGGTGCGACTACACAGCTGTTCCCTTTAACTGGTTGGTTCATTTCTTATCTCATAGTGATTGTATTTAGTATTAATAATCTGACTCTGCAAATCAACTAGTAACAAAAACTGTCAAAATAGATGGAGTGGAAAGTACAATATTTTCCTCTGAGATGGAGTTTATTTAAGTACAATAAAAAGTAATATGGGAATGTAGAAATAGTGACAGACATGGGAGAGATTGGTCACACACAGACATTGGAGCAGTAAGATAATGCACCAACAACATGGACTTCTCAAATACCCATACACCACTGAGTCTCGTGACCTTTACAAACAGACTGCAGGGACTTTAACAGCAGCAGCTCATCGCCTTTCATACATGATGGACAGACAACTCACTCAGCTTCATATGTCACCTAAACACACCCAAGAACCTTCTGACCAAATTCTGCGATGTTTGTTCACTTTAAATTGCCCCTTCATAAAAAGCATTAAATGTAATGATCAGCTCTGAAGTTCTTGTTTTAAAATGTAAATTTTATTCAGCCCTACAACCACAGAATGAATAAAAAAAAAACAGAAAATAGATCTAAATATGAGGCTTCTCTTGTCTTTCGTTGCATAGTAAGACAGGATAATTACACGCTGCCAGTGCATGTTGACCTCATGGCTTTATGTTTTCTTGTTTCCTCTTAAAATAACTTTACAAAATGCAAAGTGCTTCACTTCTCTCAGCTTTCAGCAAGAATTTGACTTGGTCTGTAGTCGGTAGTAGTGAGCACCTCAAACAGGTACAGGGGGAACATTAACACAAAGAGAGACATTTTCTGTGATCTCTGGCTGGAGCTTCATATTATCTTCAGATAGACGTATACATTCTGCACAGAATTGGTGGATTTTGTCCAGGATGAACAGAATAATAACAAGCAAAACCTGTTTCAGTGTTTAAATGGTCACCTGACTGACGTTTTAAGACAGACTTGATAAATTGTGAACCTATTCTTCTGCAGTTTAATTGTGCATCGTAAAAGAGAACACAAACTAAAACATGTAAGGAGGCAGCAAAAAGGTATGGTACACTATGTATGTGTAGTTGTGTGTCTTGTGAGGCAACAGATCTAGGCGGATATTTCCAAATCAGAGGCCACACTTTACACAACAGGGCACATCGACTGTATTATAAAATCTGAGTATGACACGTAATTTCCTTCATTCTAGTGACTTTTTATGCAAGTAAATAACCACAAAACATACCTAAAAGCAAATCAACTTGTGGATAAATTGCAGACTTTTCTCCCATTTGTGCCCTCCTGTTGGCTTCATTTTAGAGACAGGAATTGTCCCTGCATATTTTTTAGAGTTCGTTTTGCTCATCTTCCGCCATTTGGCTCGGCCTTTTGCTTTTCTCGACAGCGTGACTTGAGCTGGCATCCGGAACAAAACACGGTGGGAAGATAGCCCAGTGCCTCCAGGTGCAGAAGGTGGGCAAAAGATGTAATTAAAACAAGCATTTTGTTTTTCCTTTTGGGCCATATAACCTTTACCATCTCCTGGCTTAGTAGGGACTCATGTTTCTTGAATTCATCAGCTGATGGGTCCACAGGTGCAGCTCTTACACAGAGACTGTATGTCCATCCCTATCTGGGGCCAGATGTATAAAGCATGTGAGCACCAGTAACTAATAGTTCTTGGAATTTCATTACTGCTTCCTACCGTTTGGACCATTTTACGCTTTTATTACCTTTTTAGACCCTTTTATGCTTGACCTGAGCTGTCCCCCTGCTTCTACAGTTAGTACATCCTCCAGTCTGCGGCGTACTTCTATGCACCTCACCGATAAACCACAGAATGACAGCCAATAATTACCAGCCCATATCCAATCATTGTCGTTACATACGACCTCAACATCCCCACTTTTTATTTCTGTATGTTTCTGGTGGAGTGGAGGGCCGTAACAGTGAGGACAGGAATGGTATGCCTACAGTAGAAGACGCTAACTGTGTGTTAGCAGTTATATGGAATCAGATTTGTGCCAATGTAGTCAAACAAAACATCAGATAAAATTTAAGAATTTGAGAGGGAATAAAAGTGAAACTGAGAGAACTGGGAAAAAAAATTCATCTCAAAAGTACAACATATAACTTGCAAGAAAACTATTCAGTTTTCATGTGACCTTAAGAAAGAAAAACGCTCCCTTGGAGGGCGGAAAATATGTTATCTTCCGCTGCCTGCCAACCAATAAGCAAGTGGTACACTGTAACTTTGAGTTGCTGGATGGTTGTTGTGCTTTGGGATGCACCAATCGAGGAGGAGACAAGCCTGGGCTGTGTTAGGTGAGGGATTCCCCACAAGGTAACGTAAACATACCGCAGTCGAGCGGCGGCAGGGACCTGGCGGTTTTTAACGATAGAAATGCGGCAGCGGATACTGTAACGTTATATGGATCAGATATGCCAAACACTTGCAGTTTGTGTTCATATCTTTCTGTTTCTTAAGTAGAAAGGTGATCCAAATAAAATTTAACTGCTTTTGCAGCGTCTCTACGGGGGGGTCGCGGTGTGAGCCGCTGTGTTGCTCTGTTGTTTTGCCCTCCAGGTCACCGCGCATGTCACGTGACTGAAAACTATGAATAGGTCATTTTACGACACATACAGCATTTTCTTTGAAACACTGAATTGTCTTGAACTTAAGTGACATTTAAATTCCTAAAACAGTGTGTAATTGACGATGTTGAAATGTCCATCCCACACTTGCAGCTTCTCCAGTGGCAATCTATTGTTTCCCTCTGTCACTCACCTCTGCAGCTTCTCATTACTTACTTACAGCCTCTTTCAATATATTCAGTGGGCTGTGCAGCTCTCCTCCCACCTCATACGTGTCTGCTTCTTTCAAGTCTCCATCTTCTGTAGCAGCACTCTCATCTCGGCTGTCAGTCAGAGGCTACTGTCACTCGCTGTGTTACATCTGTGACAGCCAAGTGTACCGCATGGGCACAGCACAGCTGGAGGCATCATGTGGGTGTGTGCACTGTGAGCTTTAAGTACATTGCTTTTGCTCTTTCACCTAATTGGCAATAACATATTTTCTGACCTTTTTCCATGTTCCTGAAGCAAACTCTTCTCTTTAACAACATTTATGTCGTATGTCCAAGTGGTAAGAGTATCTCTGGGTTGTTGGATGATTTCTCAGCCCTTTCTGTGGACTCTCTGTGGATTGTTGCTGTTTTGCCAGCACACAAACCTTTTCCTCATTTCAATTCCTGCCCATTTTTGCTGAACAGTATTTTGGCCTTCAATTGAATTGTAAATAGGATGTTAATGAGTAGAGGAAGAGCTACAATGGCTTGAACCAAAAAATACATTCTGGGTAATTAAGCATGAACTTGTGCTTTCACAAACAAGTGATAAGACACTGACATATACATAAACACACAGTCATGCAAGGAGGGAGCGGGGATTAGAAAGGAAATGTGGCCGACAAGGGTAGTTGAGCATCGCTGTGCTTCCGGTTGGCATGGAAACCCTATCTCACGAGGCGTTACGGCATTTCAGAAGTTCCAGCAGCTCATTGCAAGGTCAAAAAAAGCCATTAGAGGCGCTACAGTGAAGAAGTGGAATGTCAGCGTATTTGTCATTTTGGTAACACCTTGGATTAAAGCCCCAGCTTCAATTTGCATCCAGTAACAGTATCAGCAGTAAAAGTACATAAGTATTATCAGCTTCATGTAGTTAAAGTATCAGTTTAAAAATACAGACGTATCATAGCATTTTACTGTTCTAACTGCTCGAGGTGGAGCTAGCTTTAAATACTATATATACAGTTAGCAAGTTTTCATTTCTTTATATACAATTAACGTTAGCTAGTTTTACTACTTTATTTACAGTTAGCTAGTTTTCATTTACAGTTAGCTAGTTTTAATTTCTTTATACAGTTAAAGTAGTTTTACTACTTAATAAACAGTTAATTAATTTAAACTGATTTATACTGTTATGTAGTTATAACTACTTTATATACAGTTTTTTTTTTACTATTTCATATACAGTTAGCTAGTTTTAACTACTTTAATAATAGC